GCTTCTCCACATCCTTATTGAAGTGGGGGGCCCAGTACTGGATGCAGTACTCCAGCTGCGGTCTCACCAGGGCCAAGTAAAGTGGGAGGATGACTTCCCTGGTTTTGCTTGAGATGCATTGGTGGATGCACACCAGAGTTTGGTTAGCTTTGCCTGCCACTGCATCACATTGGTGGCTCATATTCATCTTGTGGTCAATCAAGACCCCCCAAGTCCCTTTCAGTCATTGTGCTAGCAAGCATAGCACTGCTGAGCCTGTAAGTATGCTGAGGATTCTTCCTACTGAGGCGTAACACCTTGCACTTCTCTGTATTAAAGGCCATCTGGTTTTGGTCAGCTCACCTTGAGAGTGTGTCTAAGTCAGCCTGTATCCCCAGCATGTCCTATGGTGTGTATCCCCAGCCTGTCCCCCATCATTTGGTATTGTCTGCAAACTTGACCAGTTCACATCTGACTCCTGAATCTAGATTGTTGATGAAAATGTTAAGAGTACTGGCCTGAGTACTGAGCCCTGAGGGACTCCATTGGTAACACTGTGCCACGTTGATTTGCACCCTTCAACTAGTACTCTTTTGGTCTGACCCCATAGCCAGTTGCCTAGCCAGACTGTATGATGATCTAGGCCACAGTTCCCCAGCTTAACCATGAGGACATCATGGGGAACTACGTCAAAGGCCTTCCTGAAGTCCAGATAAATGACATCCACATCATCTCCCTTGTCCAGGGCATGTGTTACCTGCTCATAGAAGAAGATGAGGTTGGTTGGGCAAGACCTGCCAGTCACAAAGCCATGTTGGCTGGCATTCAGAAGCTTACCTTCTGTTAGGCTGGTGTTAATGGATCCCTTGACAATTTTCTCCAGAATTTTTCCAGGGACAGACGTCAGACTGATTGGTCTATAGTTCTACGGCTCATCCCTCCTCCCTTTCTTGTAGATAGGGACCACGTTGGCTCTTTTCCAGTCATCCGGAACCTTGCCTGAGCACCACGATTTTTCAAATATCCCTGGCCAAGGGGATGCAATGATGTCTACCAGCAATTTCAAGACCCTTGGGTGCATTCCGTCTGGGGCTGCGGACTTGCGAATGCCCAGTTTCTCAAGGTGTTCCCTCACCTGATCCACATCAATTCTGGGCCTGTCACTTGCTCCCAAATTGGTTTGTGCCATTCCTGGCAGTGTGATCCTAATGGGAGGCTGAAAAACCGATGCAAAAAAGTCATTTAGGAGATTAGCCCTTCCTTGGGCATCTGATGTCAGTTGCCCCATTGGATCTCTCAGGGGCCCGATACTGTTCTTATTTTTTCCTACTTCCCACATATCTAAAGAACTTTTTGTTGTCCTTGATCCCCACAGCAAGCCTAAGTTTGGTTTGTGCCTTGGCTTTTCTCGACTGCTCTCTGCAGGTGTGGGTGAGTGCAGAGTAATTCTTTTTGGTAATGCTTCTTTTCCAGCGGGTGTAGGCTACTCTTCTGAGCTCAACGAGGTCCAACAGTTCCTTATTCAGCCATAGGGGCTTCCTTGCTTGTTGACTGCATTTCTTGCGAGAAGGGATGGCTTTGCCCTGTGCTTCAAGGATTATGTTTCTGAGCAATGACCATTCCTCATGTACTCTCTTTTCAGGGCACAGGTGGGGGGGCGGGGTGGTGGTATGGCCTTCAATTGCCTGACTGACCAGTTCTTTCAGTTTGCAGAAGTAGGCCTTCCCAAAGTTAAGGACTTCTGTTTTACTGGGGCATTTGCCTGCTTTTTGGTGAGATCACCCAGTTGTTCTACCCCAGTCCAGCACGGAGGTGTCTTTCAAGACTGTTATGGAAGGGGACAATGCAAACACTGGATGTCTCCATGATGACAGAGAGAGAGCTTGATCAAGAAGGGAAATATAACAGTTGTATTAAGGGGCTGTCTTTCTAAAGTAAATAGTTGTTAAGCAGCCTTCAGTTAAGCCACGTGACCAAAGCATAAGCAGATTCTGACAGCTGCTGACATGCTGATTTCCACTTGTTCAAGTTAAGTGGGCCAGAAACTTGTCTTGAATGGCAGGGAGTCCAGGGCAATATCTACACTTTTCTATCTCAACTGTGACCAGGTTTGACGTTAAGGGAAATTCAAGAGGAGGTGTGGTGGGTGCTAGTGCCCAAGGGGGCTTTAATTTGGGATCTGGCGTCAATAGCCATAATAGGCCCACTATTAATGCTAAAACAGTTGTGGAGAGCAGCAACAACTCCAGTTCTCACAAGCAAAGGAGATACACTGGTGCTGTGAAGCAGGGTGATACAACAGGCAGAATAAATGGTGGCAGCTGATGCTGAGAGCTTTTTCTACCACTCCATGTCTTGGAGTTGATAAAACTGGTGCTGGGAATCTTGATGTTACTTAAGGTTATGGGGTGTTGTGATAACAGTTGCAGCTAGGACTTCTTTTCTACAGTCCTGAATTTGGTATTTTCCCCTTGACATCGTTTTGGATTTATTCTCAAAAGAGGCCAACTTCTTTGCTACTTACAATAATAGTCTTTGGGGTACAAAACCCAGACTCTTTGAATATTTGCATGTAGAAGGGGTCCCGAATGCCAGGGCATGACACCAGAGCCTACAGATGCACTGCAAAGGGAAACCGAAAGTCCCACTACTCTCATTTCTGGTTCAGGAAGCAAGACGACTTACAAACTGAATACATCCCTAGAACATGGAAGTCTTCTACACAGTATGCTTAGTGACCACTGTTAGTAGGTATAATCTAATTCTTGAAAGGACAATACTTAAGAGCCAGACATCTAGAATCAGACATAAATAAAAACAAGGCCTAATCCTTTCAAATGAGGAGGAGGAAAAAAAGCCAAACTAAAAAAACAACATCTTGCTCACATCTCCACACCCCACAAACTTTCCTAGGCTAGGAAAGGCCAATAGCACAAAAAGTAAAAGGTTTTCTTTGCTTTAGAAAAACTGGTGCCAAATGACAGCTACCAGAAAGCATGCTAACAAAAGGCTAAGAAAAGCATAGGAATGAGATTTCTGCCTAAACCTGGGTTTGGTGAGGATAAAAGAAATGCTCCATCTCAAGCCAGGAAGTAGCAGAAATAACCAAGGAGGTGTGCTGTTTTTATGCCCTTGGCATAAGGAAGGGAGGGAAAGGTGCACTGCACTATATGGGCACCAGGAAGCCAAAGTGTCCATGAGCTCAGGTGCATGGCATGCTCACAGTGGATTCTATGCATACTCTCAATACTTTGAGGAGAAATCTAGTTTCTATGCTCATCCACAGCAGTGATCTTATTTTTGCCCCATTATGGACTACATCATTACCCTTACTGAAAAAACCTGAAGCAAAGTAGGCGTGTAATTTTGAGGCTAGGCCTAGATTATCTGAGCTCTCAAGCTCATCCTCTCTGAAGGCTATGTGGCTACTTTGCAGGTCCCTCTAAAGAATAGTTTCAACTTCTCTACACATTAAATATCAGTGCTCTTAAGACAGTAGTTCTCAGCTGGGGCACCACAAGACCCTTTCAGGAATGCTGCAACATGGGCGCCGCTGCCAGGTAAAACTGTCCTGTGCATTTCATATGAAGTCAGATTAGGAAGGGACTGTGGCATGAGTGGGCACTTCTGCCTACATTAGGTTTAAGCCTAATACAGACAGGAGTACTGGCTCTTGCTGAAGCCCTTCCCAGTCCAGCTCTGCAAATTCTCCCAGAAACAGAGGTGCACAGGACCATTCCACCTGGCAGCAGTGACAGTGCAGTAGCCTAGGGAAAGACAGATAAATCTTCAGGTTGTTACACTGCCGCTGCTGCTAGGTGGAATTGACTTGTAAGCTTGTTTCCAGGAGGAGCATGCAGGATTGGACTGGTAAAAAGGTGCAGCAGGAGGTCACACTTATGCCACAACCCACCCTGATCTGGCTTTGCATTAGGCATGTGTGGCAGTTTCACCTGGTGACAGCAGCAGTAGCAACATCCTGATTAAGAACCACTACAGTGAACTGAGGCAGCACAACACCTATTCTCAATCAGGGTGCTGTCCAGTTCAAAAAAGTCATGGAGTCCAAAAACATAGAGAACAACTGTCTTAAGGAACAGGATCTGATCTGATAGATACAAAGGTTCAAAATGTTCTACATGATCCAGCTATAAACAGTTTACTTTGGATGCCTTATTGTACTGGTATCAATGGTATTTGTATTCTGTCTAAAGACTTAATTTGGTTATTCTGAATATTTTGGGAAATCCTCTTCAAAAAGGAAATGATGGAACATGATTGGAATACAGATGGCTAAATAATCAGAAATGTGAACTGAAAATTTTGGAGTCTCTGGCCATGGACAGATGCAGTATTTGAAGCACTCCATAAACAGTAAGGGTACAGATCTGCAAAGCTGAAGAAGTGCTCCAAAAGTGACCAAAGAAGTATTTCAAAAGAGATCCTCATAAAACAGGAACATCTTTAAGTACTTCATTTTGAAGCATTTCCCAAAATGTTTACACACCCTGGTATCCTACAGTACTCTGTTTCCTACCTCCCTGGGGTGCACACATCTGCATAAATCTGCTCTGCAAATCAGAGTTTCAAATGTATGCCCGTTTGTACCCTCTTACAACAGCACAGCAGCAGAAAAGACTGCCTATATAGCAATATGGGTAGGATTGGAACAAAAATTCATGGGAATGAACAAGTGGCAGACCACTTCGACTGCTAAGGGAGTCTGACTATAGCTGCTCTTGCCCCTCCCCCAATTTGCTGGCTACAGGTAATCCCATCTGTTGCAGTTCCCATTTCAAAATCTAAATGTAAAAAAAAAGAGTTAACAACTTGAATTAACAGTGACTGGATGGCATTTTATAAGCCACTGCTGTTTTTTCCTCCAGATCTGGCATGCATGTTGTACAAGCAGGGGTGTGTGTGCGTGTGTGCGCACATGCATGTGTGTGTGCACGCACTTATCTAGAGAAAGACCAAAGCCATTCATCAAAATGTACCTCATAATGGTGTGAAAAAAGTACCTCATAATGGTGTGGAATGACTCCTCATCTACACCACAGTCTGGGTCTGACAGGCGACTGATGATATCTGGGAGCAAGTTATAGATAGCATTACCCTGCAAAGACAGACAAAATAAGCACATGACAACACTAATGAAGGGTTTAAAGGACAGTTTGCGCCAAGCTACAGGGTTGAGCTTCCCATATGAATTGTCCTTCTCTGCTCCCCAAGCTGTTTAGCAGGGTTGTGCCACTCATCAGCTTTTGAAGGTTGGTCAGTAAACAAGCTGGCTGAGTTCTCCTGGGATGCTAGACCATAACTAGAAGAAAACAAAACAAAGGAAAACAGACAAGAAATATTGTGGGAAGGGGTTCCAGACATGTATGAGAGTATTCCCTGAGCTCAAAGGGCCTTTTAGCATGGCTGAAGCTGCTGAGTTGTAAATGGTAATCAAATATGTGGGCAGAAAGGGTGGAAAAAAATCCATCAGATTGACTGTCTAATCTATTGCAAAAGTCTTCTCTTAATGAAAGAGGCATCTGGGTTGTAGATTTGACTGCTAGGTTTACCTGCCTACATAAGCAACAGAGTTAGTTGAAATGATCAGTGATCTATATTCAGAAGTTCAAAAAAAAAATTGCACCACAGTCCCAGTTGAGATATGTCCTAAACTTCAAACTAGAAAAAACTAGTAGATTGCCTTCTGCTAATAGGAGTGGGATTAACTCAGGCCAAGACATCCTTCTATTATGGTAAGATCTGACAAGTTCAAACCATCTGTTCCCATAACAGACTAAGCTGATTAGGAATCTGGCTGGTGGGAAACAGCAATTAGCACCTTAACCTAGAGACTTAAAACCCTAGCAATACCTGTATAGCAGACAATAGCTATACCCATCCTCATTTTCTATGCTGAGGGGATAGGGGAAGGGCATGTTCCTTACTCCTCAGTTTTTTCTCAGTCACACAGTCTTTAAGTTGCACACGACTCCAAGGAAGGAGGACAGCAGGTGGACAACATGCCTCAAAGAAAAGGGTCTCTGATAAAGAAGGGGAAGGGGTAGGGGGTTATGAGAAGATAAAAATTCAAACTAGATTCAGTTAGAGATCACTATACATCCAGGGCTTACCAGTCAGAGATTATATGGACATATACAGGGTAAAACCAGACCAAGCACCTTTGGTGGGGAATGAGTGGGCAGCACAAGGTTTACATATCCTGAGTGCACTGTAACACTTCCCATTTCAGGGTGGAAGACCTGCAAGAAGTACCTGGATCCCTTTGATGCCAGGCTGCCATTTTCTAGGGGGCTCTCCCTGCCAAGAAGCAATCTGCATACTGGTGAATATTGCTGGGACTTCATCAGTTCTGTAACTTTCTCATAGACACGCAACAGGCCAGGAGACACTGGTAGTTAGCAATCCTCAACCATATACTTGGAGGAGTAAGACCTCTTACTGAGTTGGTCCAGTCTCCCATTTTCATTTGCTGGAAGGACCATCAGGGAAAAAAAGGGTTCAGTGTGTATGTACAGGTTCTCATTACTCCTCGAAGAGACTCTACACTCTTTGTCTGCCCTCCTGGAAATAGAATGGGTACAGCATGTCAACTGGGAAGCATGCTTTTGCTGACACCTCCTATAGAGAAATTCTCAGGATTCTACCCTCATCATAGGCTGCTGGATGTTGTCTGAAGGTCAGGTGCTGACTGGATGAAAGTGGCACCTGGAGGATGGTTCCTTTGTCTCCGATTTCTGCTATAGAGACTGGATAGCCATGGTGACTCTGGGTGAAACTGAAATAAATCTCAAACATAGGATATGGAGGAAGAGTATCCCTCTGAATGTGGAGGGAGGTGCTGAAACATCCAAAGCCAAAATGGCCATATTGGTACCTTTCAGCAGATATGTTAGAGTCTCTGGATCATTCAGTACAGTGTGTTTTGGTGAGTACACATGGCACAATGGCACTGAAGATTTCAAGCAGCACTCCAAACAAGAGAAGTCTGTCAATGCCAAAGGTCCTGTCAATTGAGGGGGTAATCTGCCGCCCTGACCCTACCCCGGGAAGTTTGCTGCTTCCCGGAAGCCCGCATCTGAGACATTGCGGAGAAGATCCCTAAGCACCTGCAGCCCACTGACCACTATCCCATGCTCCTCATCCATGTGGGCACAAATGACACGGCTCGGAGTGCTCCCAGCTGGGTCATGAGGCGCTACAGGGATTTGGGTGCGGGGCTAAAGGGTCTGGGGGCGCAGGTGGTGTTTTCTTTGATCCTCCCAGTCTCGGGCTACGGGCTGAGGAGGGAGAGGAGGATCCAGCTGGTCAACCAAAGACTGAGGCGCTGGTGTCATCGGGAAGGACCACAGTCCGCTCTTTGGAGAGAGAGGCAGTGAGCTGCTGGGAAGGGATGGCCTCCACCTCTCTCCGTTGGGGAGGAGGCTCTTCTCAGCCAGACTGGCTGACCTGCTCCACCAGGCTTTAAACTAAGCCCACCGGGGGATGGGGGACTACTGCCACTGCTGGCCCACTTGCAAAGCCAGCAGGCCAAGGCACATAAGGGATCCCACCCCATCCCCAGCCCTGGAACAAAATGTAGGCAGGGCAAGGGCCCCCAAGGGGACATTTGCGTGTCTGAACACAAATCCCAGGAGCCTAGGGAATAAACAGGATGAACTTGTCCTCCTGCTAAATGAAAATAACTATGATGTCATTGGGATAACGGAGACCTGGTGGGACTCCACCCATGACTGGACCACGGGTATAGACAGCTATGACAAGCCGTGAGCCACGGACTTCTCGCACTCTCTGGCAGTGGCGCAGGATGTTCAGGATGCTATAAAAGCGCTTGTCCACCTTCAGTTGAGTGAATTCTTTGATATCAGCTTCCACAATAAAAAACTCACCTGGAAAACAAGCAGTCCAATTTAAAACAATTAAAAATAGCAACTCACGTAGCACCAGGGCATAACAGAAATCATCAACACTTTTGCACTGGCAGGGGGGACCCTTTCAAAAAGAAGTAGGGAACTAAATTGTATAGATAGTCTAGAAGCCATCAGCCCCCACGATGGCAGCTGGTGTCAGAGAGACAGTGGACATTGGTACTGTGGTAGGGACATTTAATCCAATGGAGAGCAGAAGGGGGTTCCATCCTTGTCCAAACTTGAAGATGCCCTCAGCTTTGAATACTCCCTTGGTAACAAGATGGAGAGTCCTATATGCTGATGCAAAAGAAAGCTGATGGTGAAGCATCATCAGAAAGCAAAGCTGATGGTGTCAACATACCAAGTAACAATATGCTCAGGGCTGATGCAAACTGCACTGAGGAGGACTGGGAGAAATGAGGATGGCACTGAGGTCACTTCTGCCCTTGGTACCAGCTGTAGTTGCCAGAACCATAGTAACATGCTCTGTTAGAAACCAGCATAGGCCACAGCCTTGCCTCGCAAAGGGGCCAGTGACATGCTTGGGCTCTTCTTTTATTGAGAACTCCTGGCTTGCCCCTGCTTTTCTCTAGAGAAGCAAAAGTCTTTTCTCTGAGGACATGGCTTTTACGGTACTCCAAATCTGAAGCTGGAACGGCCTTGGAAGATGGAGCCCAGGAGCTAATGGATCCAAAGCTCTTAGGGGAACTTCTGAATTGAGGAGGAGTTTCTCCAGGGCAGTCTGCCTTGTTCAAATCAGAGGTTGGTCACATGAAATGGTCTACAAAAAATATTTTTAAAAGTGCCAGGTGGCTTCATTCTGCTGTTCATGCCCTGGGTGTGGGGAAAGGGCATTCAATGCATACAGCAGTCCCAACACATGCTACTACCTAAAATATACCATCTTGGGTGTGCACGTCCCACAGAGACATGCAGATGGATAAATTCTTGAAAAAAGTGATCAACTGCTCATGCCTGAAATAACTTGTTAAATACTAAAGTGGATTTAGAAATGCAAATATAGTCATAGAGAAGTAGGGCTGGAAAGGATCTCCAGAGATCATCTAATCCAAACCTGTGCCTGAGGCAGGATCACCTCTATCCAAATTATCCCATACAACCAAAATCTAAGCTCTACAAAACACTATCCTCAATCCTGACACAACATAGACCTAACTTGCCGACAACACCAAACTCTGGGGTAAAGCATCTACACCTGAGGATAGGAGGGTGATCCAGGTGGATCTGGACAGACTCATGAAATGGGCAGACAAGAACCTGATGGTGTTCAACACCAAAAAATGCAAGGTTCTCCACCAAAAAATGCAAGGGAGAAAAAACCTGCAGCATGCTTATAAGCTCAGCAGTGCTACGTTGGTTAGCATTACAGATGAAAGGGACTTGGGGGTCATGGTTGACCACAAGATGAACATAAGCCTTCAGAGTGATGCTGCAGCTAGTAAAGCGAGCAAAACGCTGGCTTGTATCCATAGATGCTTCTCAAGCAAATCCCGGGACATCATTCTCCCATTGTACTCAGCCTTGGTGAGGCCGCAGCTGGAGTACTACGTCCAGTTTTGGGCTCCACAATTCAAAAAGGATGTGGAGAAGCTTGAGAGGGTGCAGAGGAGAGCCACGTGCATGATCAGAGGTCAGGAAAGCAGACCTTATGATGAGAGGCTGAGAGCCATAGGCCTTTTCAGCCTGGAAAAGCATAGGCTCAGGGGTGATCTGGTGGCCACATATAAGTTTATCAGGGGTGCTCATCAGGATCTGGGGGAACATCTGTTCACCAGAGCGCCCCAAGGGATGACAAGATCGAACGGACACAAACTCCGCCGCGACCAATTCAGGCTCGACATAAGAAACAACTTCTTCACTGTTCGAGCCCCCAAGGTTTGGAATAGACTGCTGCCGGAGGCGGTTCAAGCACCCACTTTGAATGCCTTCAAGACACATTTGGATGCTTATCTTGCTGGGATCCTATGATCCCTGCTGACATCCTGCCCCTGGGGCAGGGGGTTGGACTCGATGATCCTCCAGGATCCCTTCCAGCCCAAATGTCTATGAAATCTATGAAAATTGTACAGTCATGTCATCAGGTTGTGTGTTCCCAGAATGTACCTTGCACTCTGGCACACAGCTGCTATAGTAAGGCCACTCAATTTCCAGAAATATATGTAAGTGTGAATGCATGCCAGGAGCTTGGTGGTGGCAGCTGCTGTCTGTCATCAGAGCTGTTGGTGGCAGAGGCAGCTACTTGTAGACACAGCCCACTATCTTCTGCATAGATGATGTCAATTTCCACAATACCAGATTGAGGTTGTTTCTGTATTATTCCCTCTGGTTCCCCTGCAGATGCCCAAACAATCCAAAAAAGTTACAGACATTGCCTCCTTGGCTACACAATCTGGAGACTAGCCCCACTCTCCAAGACTCCTTGTTTTGCTCAGATCCCTCAACCACCAACAACCTCCTCTCCCCTTCTCCGCTCCTTTCCTCCTCAGAAGGCTATACTTCTCCTCACCTTGTTGGAGAGCTCACTGAAGAAATTCTGAGCCAGCTGCACAATCTCCTCCTCAGGGTCAATGAGCAGAGTTGCCATCTCGCTCACCTGTCCCTTCACTTTCACCATGTCTTTGAGGATCAAGTGAGTCATCACAAGCCCTGCAATCTGCCTCACATCATGACAGGGGTCCCGCAGCCTGAGAAATAAATTTAATTACAGAGGGAGATGATAGGCTGCCTAGCTCCTTTCCAAAGAGCCAAGTTATCAAATGCTCCTTCAGGCCTCTCCTCTACAACCTCCAGTTCCCCAGATCCCACTGCCCCAATCTCCTCAAACAAAGGCTACTGCAACCTCTTCATCTCCCAAAGACCCAGTCTCTCCCTTGGATATTTATTTCCCTCCACCCCCAGAGCATGGTGATGCTTTACCTGGCGTACAAATGGGGGGTCCAAGGCTCTATCAGGTTGGGAAAACGGATGGCCAGGTCTCCTGCTACAATCATGAGGTTGGATCTCACACCAGGTAGAGAGGACTTCTCCAGCATGGTAAACAGGAGGCGCAACTGAGAGTCACAGAACTCAGCACTGAGGGGATGAGAGCAGGGGAGAGAAAAGCAAGACTTTATCCAGAGGGTCCTGTGAGGACAGAGTCAAGGGCAGTGTCATTCTGTCCCTTCTAGCAAAGGATGCTGTGGCCCTGGAAACAAAGTAACTGCTAAGGGGCAATATTCTGGCACTAGAAAGTGAGCAAGGTAGAGAAGAACATCATGGTCACAAGTCTGGGCATTACCTAATCATGCAGAATTTGCCAAGGGCCAGTGCTGCAGCAGCTGAGAGAGCTGGATCACGATAGACCAGAGGGTTATTGCAGATCTTGAGCACCAGTGGAATAAAGGTAGAGAACAGCTGTTTCTCTGCAGAAATGGAGGAAAAGCAATGTAAGACTGACAGCACAGCTCTCAGATATTCCTTATTTAAGAGGGATTACTCAGTTGGTCCAAAAGGCCTATTAGCCCATGCAAATGTGGTGTCCCTGCCATTTTTATGGTTGGAAGAATGCCATAAAATTCAGGATCACAAAACATATTCTAGAAGTTTACACTGTAGGAAAACTCTACAGAATTTTCCTCCAAGGAAACTATAAAGTTTCCTCCAAGGAATGAGTGTACTCCTCATTCTGGATCATGGGGTCCATGGCATTGGAAAGGGAATCACCTGAAGAAGGAGTGCCTCCTTTCAAGATGAGGACCACACTCACCATCCAGCAGCTCTGTCTCACATATATTACGAATGAGCTCTGCCTCAGTGTCATCAGCTGAGGCTCCCACAAGACCCAGATCCTCCTCCATGGTGGTCTCATTACCTGTGTCCTGTACAGAGACAAGAAAGTCGCTAAGAAAAATTTCAGAACCATGCACACCTAAGCCCCCTCCCCCACAGGGTACCTGCCTCGAGTGATAAGAAAAGTAGGGCTGGAAGGGACTTCAGGTGACCATCAAGTCCAACCCCCTACTCAAGGCAGAATGATTCATATGTAAAACCTTAACTAGCATTTGTCTAACTCTAACCTATTCTTAAAAACTCCATGCACACAAAAATTGAGATATAGATACAACAGCAAAATGACAACTATTTCAAAGAGCAAATGAATGGAGAATTGCATAATCAATTTGTCCCCTCTGATTTGAATATATTGCATTTTCTTGAATAAAATAGGCCCCAAATAAGATAAGCTTACTGTTTTTGAGCAAGCAGAATCAGGGGGAAAAAGGTTTTTCCAGAGTTATGGCTGCATAGAGCAGGGACAGAGCCTAATCTTCAGCTGACTCACCTTTCCTTTCCTGCTTAACTAAAAGCTGAAACCCTGCCTGTTGCTGAAGACTGGTCTTTGTGAGTGGATCTATGATTTTGAAAAAACCCAGAGACCCCAGGGCTATCAAACAGGAAAAGAGAAAGTAGGAGCAGCTAGCATATAGAAATATTGCCCTAAGAAAAGTTAGCTTGATTAGTGAAACATCAAGGCTGTTAAAGAGGAGAAACCACCGTTAATACCTGTGGAGTGAAAAACAATGAGGTATTAAGTCAACTGACTCCCTCAACTGCCTGAAGAGTAATGCCACTGCTACTGCACTGTGGAGCAGGAATCAAAGCAAGATGCTTCTATTTCAGGCAGAAAAAAATCAGTTTCCCCACTTGAAACATGTACTCCAATTCTGGGGAAAAGTTTTAGGGGAAAGTATGCATGGTATTCAAGTAAAAACAGTAATTATGACATAAGCCTTGGGGCTTATCAAATTTTTTTATGCAAGGGAACATCAATATGAAAGATTTAAAGAAGCCCATACATACTGATCAGTTGGAATAAAACAGGATACAGCTGTGGCAAGATACAGCTATGGCAAGCTATTTTAACACCTACAGAAAAAGAAATGGACATGCAAACCCCAAGAGCCAGTCAGACTGGTGAGGAGAACAAAGTAGTCTTTGACTTGCTGGTTGTGTGGACAAGGCAACATGGGAAACTCCACAAGGAAAAGATAAGACCTTTGTATGAAGGACAAAAGGTTACACTGCATCCAGATGATGTTCCTTAGGAAGTGCTGTGGTAATCTCACCTTGATATGATAAATGAGTGATAATGTGTTGATTTAGGTCATGGACAGATACACATTTGTGGCACTGCAAATGCTCTTATTGCCTACTAGCTGGAAAACATGTCTTTGTGGTGACTTTGTAATGCTTCAGCCAAGGGGCTGTGAGTGCATGTACACTCATATTGCTATGTTGTACTATGTCTGACAGCTTGTTGCTGCCATAGGGGCAGCCGCAACAGTCCCCTTAGATGGGGCAACAGCATGCTCTCTGATAACTCGCAGCAGTTGCAGTCCCAAGTCCTTGTTGGGCTGTAGCTTTGCTCCCTGGCAGGTTGTCAGAGAGCCAGCCTTTCCCTCTTCCTCTTTCCTAATATTTCCTTTATCTTTAGTAAAGGTGGTTTAAGAATAAAAAATGTTGTTCTGTAATTTGAGACAGCCCCCAAAACAGGAATACTTAATCACTAAGAATGAAGGATGCAGGAAATCCTTTTCTTTCAGCACAATCTCCCCCCAGCTTTGCTTTCCAAAATGCTTTGCAAAAGACAGCATCAGGCAAACCACAGAGTAGCTTCAAAACCAAAGTAGAGTCATGAGTTGGTGGGAAAGCAGGTGACAAAAATTAACTAAGGGCAAGGAGAAAAAAAGGGGACCACAACTAGGACACTAGGGTTCATCCCCTGCTGCTCTGCACACAAGAGAGAATCTTTAATGAGCATGGTCATGACTTGTACCATCTTAAGCACCTTGTTTGAGCATTGGTCGGAACTGACTGGAGAAAATGTGAACTCAACTCTTAAGTCTTCATGCCACCCCCTTACAAAATCATTGTCCGTAGAAGCTTGCTGGGGCTCCAACAAACTGAGATAAGCACACAAAGGGGCTCCAATCCCACCTTGGCACTCTGCTCTTTGGTGCTGCTGGCAGCATGTTTCTTGGCTTCCTGTTCCTCCCGAAGGACACGATGCCTGCGTAGCTCTGCACTCACTGCCCCTTCCAAATACACAACCTGCTGTAATGCCACATGTCCCACCAGAGAAATGAGATGTGTCAGCAGGAAGGTAGGGAGAGCACTGGTGCCACCAGGGATGCTGCCTGGAGAAGCCTCTAGCTCTGCTAAGGGAAAAGGGTTTAGAGTTTAGACATCTTCCCTGAATATTGCTGCCCCTCCCCACAGTAATTATGAAGGACTCCTACCAACTTCTCTTTAGCCCATCTTTACTCTTTGGAGGCCCAGGTCACTGGTACATTCACCCTTTTTCAATCCAGTTACTTCCATAATTATCTGAGTTCTCCTCTCACTGCCAAACTGCCATCCCCTGGAAGATCCCCATCTCCTCACTTGTTCCCTTACCTGGGAGGTCCAGCAGCCCATCCAGAGTCTTCTGGCTACAATCCTTCAGGATTTGAGCACATATCTCCTCAGGCCCTTCTGCTAGCTGATAGATGAGGTTCACTGCTGCTTCCATGAAGGGGAGCCAAAGAGTGCTTGGCTGGGCAAAACCTGGTGAGTAAAAGAAACACACATTATACAGGGCATCAGAACCTAAACCTACATGTCATGTCCTGCTGTTTCTCTGATCTCACCTGCACTCACAGCATCACTCAGCCATTCAAACAGCAGGTGAGTCTGTGGCAGTCGAAAGGGAGCTTGGCTCTTCCCCAGGGCTGGCTGCAAAGAGGATACCAGACAAATGAGTTGCACTACTCCTCTTACAATACTCTCTCCGCTCCAGCTTTCTGTTTCCACAAGCTCAAACTTTTCACACAATGAACTACACAAAATTATGTTATGCTGAAGTTAGTGCATCTTGTATGGGGGACAGATATCAATTTAATGGGAAGTAATGCAGAACAAAGGGATTTCTGTCACTCTGAGGTTGCAGTGAGCACTAGGAAGAAAGACTGCAGAGCTTTAGACCAAAGGACATTTCCAGCCTAAGATGGACAATCCTACAGCCTCTCTTCCCTTGGACTCTCACCTGATACAACCCTGTCCAATGAAGAATTGGGCAAAGAATGGAAAGATAACTCAAAGTACTTAATACTAATCTGTAAGTCAATGGGACAGGTCTCAACTGGTCTACTTTTCTCAGTCCTGATTATCTGCTCTAGAAAGAGGCAGTGCAAAATGGAGGGTTGTCCAATAAGTGATTTTATGCCAAGACTACCATTAGCATAAGTTTACCTTTGAAGACAAAAGAAATACATAATAACAAAGGGGAATGGTGATGAGAGCTGCAAAACAGTAAATGGGATTGGATGATCTGCATTTACAGTGGACACACCCTTAATATTTTGGGGGGTTTGATTTAAGTCACTTGTGCAGACGTTAGGAAAGTGAAATGGAATACTTGTTATATGCAATTAAACCTGGATTTGGGTGGAGCAGGAAGTCAGGCAATAAGCCACAGAGTAATTACTGGGCAAGGAGCCTGAAATGTTTGAACAACCAGTCACAGCAGAAATAGCTTCAATCTGCCTAAAGCTGCAGACGATGGACTGCTTAGCCAAGCTGATCATCAGATGTGAAAGCTGATACCAAGAAATTGTGGTCAATGAATGTGGTAAGAGCTCCACAGAGCTGCTCTGTAAATTTTTGCTACAGAGTCTCTGCCAAGGTCATCTGAGCACTGGTAGAATGAGGTTAAAGAATTAACTTAATGATCTCACAGGACACATGAACACAAGTCAAGATCCATGTAGACAAGCATGGTCTCTCCAAAATCTCTAAGTCTTAAAATACCCTGGGCATAGACCAGTGATTCTCAACCTTTTTAGCTTCAAGGCACCCCTTGTTAGTCAAAGCACCCCTTGAAAAATACCAGCTCTTAGTTTTCACTTGTGTTTTTTTACTACGGAAAAATAATAGAGCAATTCTTCTGTTGCAAAACTCAGAAAGACCACGACAGGTTAGAACATTTTTGACACTACAGATTCCTATTTGAAATCTCTGGGTTTATCTTGTGAATTGAGTTTGCACACCTAATAGGGCTAACTTTGCATGGCACCACTGAATGGATCTCAAGGCATGCCAGGGTGCCATGGTACCCTGACTGAGAATCACTAGTATAGATAGATGAAATAATCGTGCCAACCGAAAAGGAGGCAGATGGGGACCTATCATATTTCAAACTGATCTGTTTGAGGGAAAAAGATGTGCATTATATGCACCAAAAAAAAAAAAAAAAAAGGTAAATCTAATGCTTTGAAAACGTTCCTTCAAACGGTGCATCCTAAACCAGTAAATGAGCAATGATTCATTGCTCATTTACTGATTGACACCAATTTATAAAATGATCATTGAACAATGATTTATAAAAATAAATTATATAAAGTTATATTTAATACACTAGTCCTTTGAACTAAGAGCTGTGCACTTTTCAAAATGAAATGAAAATCAAGGAAAAATGTCAAATGTTTGAGGCAGAGCTTTACAAACACAACACAAAAGGTCATGTACTGTATTGGCTTAATTCATTGGAGGATCCAAAGGCTGTACTAACAAATTCAGAAGACTTGCCAAGTCAGCACAGGCCCCGAGACCTTGCCCCTAAATCCAGCAGACATCAGGTATCTCATCAGGATCATCCACTGAGTCCATTTGGGTGGTCTCATGCTCCCATTTTATAGCTTTTCTATATCTGACTTCTGATTGTTTCCTGTCTCAAATTAATACTTATGACTTCACTGACCATGGAAACCCATTCTCTCTAGTTCTTGGAAAAAGACACCAGTCAGTTCAGTTATTTTGGAGGTGGGAATTTACACAACAAAAGAGTAGTCAAAACAGAGTGCAACCAGAAAACAACACTGCTGTCAAGCACCATATTATAGGAAGGAGGAAGGACAACATCCTTCAGCCTCTAGTGTTGAATGAGAAACCAGAGAACTGCAGAAAAAAAGCCCTGATATAGCTGCAGGTCATAAATGAGACCCAATATTTTCAAGAACCATTTTTAACAAGTGTACCCTCTTTGGTCTCAAAGTTTCAGTTCATGTACCCCTTCATATTTTTTTCTGTTTTTAAGGGTGGGGGTGCAGATCAAGGCCCCTGCGGTAAGGGAGGGAGTGTAGCATAGGCAGGAGCAGGGCTGGGGTGAAAGGGGCCGCAGCCAGGGCCCCACTCATCCCGGCCCCTGCTCCTGCCCCACTCCCTCCCTCACCACGGGGACCTTGATCTGCCCCTCTCCCGTGGTGAGGGAGGGAGTGAGGCTTGGGATTGAGCCCCCCACAGTGCAGAAGGGAATGGGACAGGGGTGAATCATTCAAACCTGGCCCTGGCCCACTCCCTCCTGCACTGTGGGGATTGTCCCATGAGCCGGCCTGGCTGGGCCCCATTCACAGTGGGCCAGGTTGTGGGACAATCGGAGCCCAGCCACTCCTTCAGGGGCACAGGTGGGCAAGGCTCCCTCTGCTGTGCGCACCACAGGAGAATCGGGGTGGGGGCATGTGCTCCCCTGCTCTGTGTCCCTAGAGGAGCTGCCGGGCTCCAATTGTCCCATGACCTGGCCAGGCCGGGTTGTGGGACAATCCCCACAGTGCAGAACGGAGTGGGCCAGGGGCAGGACTGAATGATTCGCCCCCGCCCCATTCCCTCGTGGGTGGTGGTGGCGCTGGGAGTGGAGGCTATGGAGGGGGCTGCAGCCACCCCAAAATTCACCGTAGCCGCCCCACCCCCTCCTTCCCAGTGCAGCCCAATCCAACAGCCCCACCAGGAACAGCTCGGTGCTACCCTACCCCCAGGCCACAGCAGCCCACCCTGCCCTGCCCCGTCTACTGATCCTGGGGTGCATGTAGCAGCAGTGCTGGGAGGTGAGGCCGAACAGAGGCGGGGCTCACACGTGGTCGCCACTGCCACTGTTACCCCTGGTTGCGTGCTGCCCTGCTTTCCTATGGCCAATTGCACACAGCCGGGGGTGGGCACAATCTTCCCCCCGGCCATTCAGATGTGTTGGGGCGGGGAGGTGCTGCGATGTGCTGTGGGGGGCTAGTGGTTGCCAGCGCATCCACCCTCTTCCCCCTCCCCCGGGTAAGAGGCCAACGCACTAGGGAAGACACCACTGCTGCGCTCCAGGCATACCCCCTATGTCCTAAGTACCCCTGGGGTATTCGTACCCCCAGTTGACAACCCCTGCGCTAGATAATAAATCACTTAGTTATAAAAGTGGGTAACAGGTTTTGGTAAGAGAAATGTATGTATCCAAAACAATGTTTATTTAATAAAAACAGCCTTTTAAGTTGCTTATGCCTAACATGAATCATGAACAAGTTAGTTAGCTAATAAGTAATATATCACTCTGTTTTCAACTATAGCAAAATTAAAGAAAATATTAAGCCACAGAATTGTTTAAAGTGTTTAACTATACTATACCATCCTAGGTAGCAAAACAAATATACCAAATGTAGCGCAATCCTTAGTTAGTTGTAATTACTCATAGCTAAAATGGTTGTGCCAACCAGTGTGAATACAAGTTTCTTCAGAAAATACCTCAAGTACAAATGGAAATGCTGACAAAGATCCGTGCTTTAAAACAGGGCTTTGTGTTTGGCGATTAATATCAATACACCCGGCTCCTCAGCAGGGCAGTTATTCCCTTGTAAAACCTGTTGGTGAAACCCCCCCAAAATGTGCCATCCCTACTTATCCCTCATGCGACCTAGCCTCCACCCCACTTCGTTCCCTTTCCTTTCCTTTTTTTCTCCTTTTCTCCTTCTCTTTTTCTTTCCCACTTCTTTTCTCTCTTCTTCCCTCCCCTCCCCATCCCCAGCTGGATCCAGTTGTCTTTGCCCACGAAGGACGAAAGTATAATTTATCACCAAATAAAGTAGGTCTTGCCCTGCCAATTATCTTTCAGCTGACACTAGTGAAACCAGATAAATTGCACAGATGGGAGGCCCTAAGTTTGAAGTTTATTTTTTAACATGGGGAGTGCTCATCGGAAGATGCCTAGCTCCTGTTCTGTGAGCTCCCTGATGAAGGAAGAATGTTACCTTGTTGCAACCAGCCAGTTTGGAGATAGCATTGCACACTTCTTTGGCAAAGCCATAGTCTTTGTGAACCTTCTCATCTAGCCCCACTGTCACCAAAACATCCAAGTTACTGCCCACGATCTCTGGCTTTCCCCTGTAGTGAGGTAAAACATACAAGAGTTGCCAAGAGTAACTCTAGAAAGCTTGCAGCAAACATACAACCAGCCAAGGTTTACTTTGTGCAGAGGAAGAATGGAGACTTGGGCATGAGTTGTTTTCAGCTGACACCAGATTCAGCTGAGAAGGCAGTAAACCATACTTCTGCAAGTTGGATATTACACATGCTGTAATGGGGGTCTGAACATTGGAATGCATTGAAGTAAACAGCTATTTGCATTGTAGTAAAAACACTGCCAAGTCTTCCACAGTCCACCACCTTCCAGAACAGTCTTTTAGGATAAGAAAGGGGGAATGAGGAGCAGTCATCATGGCTGTCATGGGAACAGTCAATTATTTATAGAGACAGCTATACTTCGAGCTTACCTTGCCATCATGCCCAGCAGCATGATAGCAGCCTGGCGCTCCAGTGATGAACACTGGGATTTCTCTGTGAACTGCTCCCAAAGCAACTGGATCACAGATGGCTTTATTTCATCTTTCTGAACAAACTCGCTGATCTGGGGAGGAACAGGATACAATAACTAGTCATACAAAACTAGAACAAGTGGAATGGCTTCCACAGTCCATCTGTGCCCCAGGAGGGCATTTTATTGGAAGGACTATAACATTTTGAGCAGGACAAAGGCTCAAGGCAGACTCAAACATACTAGGCGTGCACCAATAGAGATTTTTTGGGCTGATACCAATGGCCAATTTTTAACGAGCCATGCTGGCTGATACCGATCCGATTCTGACACGCAGCCCCGCAGCGTGGAGAGTGGCTGGTAAGTCTGTTGTGGGGAAAGGGGGGAGAGAAGGGGTGTGTATGGGGAAAGGGGGAGGGGGGGGGCACATCGAGGCCCCTGCGGTGAGGGGGGAAGCGGAGCTGGTGCTGGGGCAGGTGCTGCCCAGCTGGGCTGTGGGGGCACCTCCTGCCACTGTGCTCACCCTGGGAGGCATGGGGGCATGTGACCCTGGGTATGTGCGTGGGGTGGGGTAAGGTGCTGTGCCTGGCTCATCCCAGCGAGGGCTGGGCCAGACTGCACTCGGCAGCGGTGCTGGGAGGGGGGGTTGGCGGGGACTACAGCAAATTCTGGGGTGGCTTCAGCCACCCAAGCCTCCTTTCCTGCCCCACTGACTCCTTCACTGCAGGCTCTGTCCCGTGCCCCACTTGGACAGCACCTACCCCTACCCCTGCTCCACTCCCTCCCTCACCGCAGGGGCCTCAACCTGCCCCTCCCCCCCACGCCCCTTTTCTCCACCAGCCGGACCCAGCTGCTCTTCATGCTGCCGGGCTGTGCTATAACTACACGCATGCATGTGGTATTCATCGGCCACATTAAACAAAAAAAAGCCGATTGCCAACGCTCTCAATTTTTCTCATATCGATGCCAATCCGATATGGAATCAATGTATCGGTGCACCTCTAAAACATACAGAATGGGATTAGCACTTACTATTTCCTCCAAGCACTGAATGGTCCCAAGCGAGGCATCCACCATAAGGAAGGAGAGAGATTGCACCTGGTTCTGGGCCCTAACTCTGTTTTGGAGATAGACAGAAGACAGTTTGCACGATTACTCTCCTAGATCCAGAATCCACAAACAGGGATAGATAATTTTCTTGCCACAGTAACAGGAATGATTTAAGGGAGCCTGTCCAGATATATGTTCCACTAGGTAATATCATCCAAGCAATTCATATGTTCAAGTTGAGATTTTTTTTGTCTTAATAGTACCTGTAAAGCATAATGTAGAACCTATAGAGCAGGGGTGGGCAAAACATGGCTCATGGGCCAAATCTGGCCCACCAACAGACTCAATCTGGCCCATGGGTGGACAACTGCCAACTCACTGGATCTGGTCTGTGGGCAGCTGGTGACTGACTGCCACGTGGTGCCAGGCAGGTGGAACTACTTCCACCGAGCAGCATCAGCCCTCAACACAGCAGTATCAGCTGTGGACCTGGGCAGGGCTTCTGCTGCAGCAGGCAGGCAGGCAGGCAGGCGGTGGCATTAGCTGTGGATGCCACTGGCATGTTCAGAAGCCCTGATGCAGAACCCGCTGGCAGCAACCACAGCCAATGTTGTCACTCTCCCAGCACAATGAAAGCTCCTGCCTGGAGCCCTGATCTGGAACATACTAGCAGCATCAGATGTGGATACAGGCAAGAACTTCTACTGTAGCGGACGGACAGCACCATCAGCTGTGACACTGCCAGCAGGTTCTGCATTGGGGTTCTGGAACCTGCTCACTATGACCATAGCTGATACTGCCACCCACCTGCCACAGTGGAAGTCTCCATTTGGGTCCACAGCTGAGCTTCAGGGCTCCTGACAAACAACAGCTCTGGCCAGGTTCAGGAGCAAGACAGAGGTGAGAAGAGACAGACAGAGACAGATGGATGTGGTTTTCGACAGGTCCCCAAAACTCATTAAATAGCCCTCCAGTCAACATAATTGCCTATCCCTGCTATAGAGGGTAGGGTAGATCTGCACATCCTCACACTCTGCACCAAAGGGCCCTCTAATTCTTCCATTTCTTCTCAGCTACAGAATCCCAAGATGCCAGAGGATCATAAGAGAATGGAAGGCATAATATGGAATGTGTATAGGGACAAGACAGCTGAAGAACACAAGACTGACGGAACCTTCTGTGCCATCAAGTTCAAGCCTCTGCAACCATAGGCAACCATGCAACAAAGGATTTGTCCAAAACAGTCCACAGAAATGTCCTTTCTAGCCCCTCTTTCCTACCACAGCCACAAAGCACCCTATGAGGGAAATGTCTACAATGTGCCACGAGAAGAGGAGACAAGGGTCTCTCTCAAGCTGCCAGTTACTGTGATAAGCAACTTCTTTCTCCTTGAAGTGTTTGACCATTTGCACATAAAGAATCAAAACAGTTTCCAAATTCACTTGCAGGCAAGATGCAGTCCTGGGCAAAGAATGACTATAGAACTGCTTTCTCAACTACAATATCTGACCTGAATGCTTCAGTAAGCTCATAGGCAGACAAGGTTCCTTGGGTGAATTTGATATCTTTTATTAGACCAACCCAAATGGTTGGAGAATAGTTATTAAGCAAGCTTTCAGGTCTGACGAAGGGTTTTTGAACCCGAAAGCTTGCTTAATAACTATTCTCCAACCATTTGGGTTGGTCTAATAAAAGATATCAAATATACCCAAGGAACCTTGTCTGCCTATGTCCTTAGACCAACATGGCTACAACCTAAACCTCAGTAAGCTCATAGCACTTGCCAGGTGCCAGCCTGGCAGATATCTAGAATGCTGAAATTCTTGGAAATCCACAGCTTACTTGGGTTCTGGTGGAGTGTGCTCTAAGTACTGCTGGCTCCAGCCTTAGCTGTACTAAATTCTGTTATGAAATCGGAGGGTTCTATTTAGCATGGTACAGGCTACAGCAAAAGCTCTGTTATCCGGCATCCCCTGGGAATGGGGGATGCCAGTTAATCAAATATGCCGGTTAATCAAATGTGCACTCTCTGGTGCACTCCCTGGCACCAGTGTGCTGGAGGACAGGGAGGGGGGCCCTGCGCAGGCTGCTTTGCCCCAGGCCATGATCCAAAGAAGTGAAGAACTCGGCTTGTGGTGACGAAACCGAAAGTGGGACTTCCAATTTTGCTTTTGCTACGTCCCTCAGATGCTGGTTAGTGGAGCTTTCCAGTTGATAAACTACCAGATAACACAGCTTTTGCTGTATATCCTTTCATTCTTCCACTATGGCAAAAAAAGCAATGGGAACAATATGAAGGATCTGGAAAGAGCAACACCTCCACTCTGTCGGAGATTTCAGAAGAAATGCTAACAACTAGATCTTCTGGATCATCTCAGGTAAGACTCCAATACAGCTTGGGACAGGAACTTAGAATATGTCCTCTCACAAACTTTTTCCTGGATAGAACAAAGGTATATGGAGAATCTGCCATTAGCATCTCGATCTGCATTTTGACTGAAGAGGACTACAAACTAAGATCTCACCTATCTGTGAAAATACCTGAAACTTACAGGTTGACATAATATCATAAGTTCATCAGAGCTGCAAAGACAAAGTTCAGGTCCCAAAGGGACCAGACTTCTCCCCAGAGGGAAGACCAGGATCAGATCCTTGGAAAACTTCAGTGCCATGGCCTGAAGACCAACTGGGTTTCCGTGGCAGGGAAAAGGAGAGGATGGCTTATATAAACAACAGCCAGATGGGCTTGAACTAAATTTAAAGATTAGCCACTGCAATTCAGCTCCAGCAGATGATCCAAATTTTTTAGCAAAGAGATCTCATATGTGGTTAGGGACCTTATGCTATACCATGCTGAAAATCTAATCAGAAGCAACAGTTTCTAGTTGTAAGGGAAGTATAGATTAGATATTAGGAAGAACTTTCTTGCTAGCGGGGTAGTAAAGCACTAGAACAGGTTACCTGGAGACCTTGTGGCATCTCCATCCTTGGAGGTTTTCAAGACCCAGCTAGACAAAGCCTTGGCTGGTATGATATAGTTGGGGATGGTCCTGCTTTGAGCAGGGGGTTGGACTAGATGACTTCCTGAGGTTGCTTCCAACCCTAACTTTATATGATTTTAATTCTTTTGGCCTCCCTTGTACAGCCTTTCTTGCTATTGATAAGTATGCCTCTAACCAAAAAAAGAAAGAAGTGAGTGAAATTTGATAAGTCTTCAAAAAGGGTTGTTATGAGAGAATGGCAATCAACTGTACTCTCTGTCCACAGGAGACAGGACAAGTAGCAACAGCTTTCAATTTCTCTTGTTGCTATTTAGGCTGGATATGGGGGTGGTTCAAGATGAGCACATTACCTAGAGAGGCTGTGGGAATCAGTCACTGGGAGTTTCTAAGGTGCGAAGTAGACAAACATTTGTCTGAGACAGAAGGAACTTCCCTGTTAAAGCAGTGGGGGCTGGACAAGACAAACTCCTGAATTCCCTTCTAGCCCTATTTTCTATTATTCTGTTCTGCCTGCCGTTCTGAAGACCACAAAGATGAACTGCTTACAGGTATATTTGAGCGCAGATGCATCAGTTGTCCCCTATGAAGGGATGCAGTCAGACTGTCATTTTGCTCTCCCTGTGGATGCTTCAAATATGACTATGCTACTGTCCATCATAATTTGTAAGTAAAGTGACAAAAAATGTTGTAGAAATTGCTTGTAAGCTCCAGGGATGGTTTTCTGCTCCAAGATGTTTGTGTGCAGCTGCCCCAACTAGGTGAGTGTAAACAAGTTACTGGGTTGATGTAAAACAGTTCTGTAGCTCTGAGAGTCATTTGGTAACATTCACCAACTTTTCTAGGAAGTAGGAGCTGATTAACTAGGATTTGCCAACTACCCTAGACCTCAGTTACAGAGTGCTCCTTTGCTCAGTGTGCATTGCTGAAGAATATGCACAAATTCACTAATAATCTCAACAGGAATCTGGGAGATTCAGTGCCAGGACCTTATTAGGAAAGGTGAAGCCCCTTAAAAATCACTTAATTCAGAGATGTTTAACCATTTGTTTTTTTGTTTTGTTTTTTAAAGTGGGCCAAACCTTAACGATCAGAAATGAACCAAGAACCAGACAGAAAACATTGTCAGAGCGCTGCATAATGCAGGGAGGCCTCTGAGCTTACCAACTGTCAGTACAGGCTCTGGTCAGAGCTACTGCTTTCACATTGCTCCAGGAGACCAGAAAGTGAACACTACCACTGATTGTCTCCTCTTTTTCCCCTTCATTGAATTCAGTGACAGGGGAAAAAAAAGAAAAGAGGGGACAAGCAGCAATCCTCTGAGAATTCATCCTCTGAACTCTGGAGCAACATCAGAATGGAGGCTCCAGCCACCGCACACAGACACACTGGTAAGTTCAGCAAGCTTGCTGTGCATGTGGAGCTCCAGCAGGCAAAACACTGTTTACATCGGCTTTGCAGGTTGGACAGCTGACAGGCTGTAGGGTGAGCAGCACTAACTTAATGAAGGGCAGTTGGGTGAGTTACCCCATTTGGGGACAAGGAAGATAATGGGCTTGGGCACCCATGTAAAGGGTTGGATCACTAGATTCTAGGAGTTCCTATGCTCTGAAAATAGGAGCCACTGATGAAGAAGGCCCAGCCTACACAACCAAGGCCTGAGATGGACCTTACAAAGGTCCATTGTGGAACTCTCCTGCTTGTTACTACACCCAGGGTCAATACAGCTATGCATATAAACTTAGGAATGGATTCTGGGCCCAGAACGTTGCGTAATATGCTCCTTCTGAAGGGAGTCCTAGAGACACTTTATCACTGAAAGAGCCCTGGATTTACTGTGCTGGACACAGGAAAGAGGAGAGATTCCTTGTGAATACTAGTATGAATGGCCAGAGTCCTGATTCTCAGAATTAAATGTGTCCAAGAAGCAACGTGGAGTGCCCTAGTATCAGTGAACACTCCCCATGTGATCTGGCGCTGGCTGGTGTCAAGAGTTTCCAGTAAGCTGCTCCATATCTCTTTAAGCAGACAGAACCAATGCGGGGCTGGAAGAACAATTTCCCATGGGCTTATGCAGCATGGCAGACGCCAATGTCAAAGACCCCTTATGGTAGTCCTGGTGTTTATGCAGTGCCAGCAGAGAGGATTCCCTGGACCTGCATTTCAGTGCTAAATCACTGAATCCCAAGTGGGAGATTTTTCCCTTGAGCCCCCCTTGCACCATCTTTCACCCAGGCCAGCTTTTCTGAGGCTGCCCTATAACTTCCATGTTCTTCATATATGTGCATGCATCTGGATCTTGTACTCTAAGATCCAACTCTAAGCCCGTAGATTTACCAAGCAAGTACAACTGAAGCCTGGCCTTTGTCCTTCCTGTTGTGGGAAGTATTAACAAATTGCAAAGTTCCCTATAAAGTTTGGCTTCTCCAACCACTAGACACTTAGGATGCCCACTATTGGCAGGAATGGCCTTTTCAGACAACGGACAACATTTAAAGGCTATACTGCTTGAAGAGCCCATGGTGGAGCATTTCAAGTCTCACTTTCAAGGACTCCTCCTCTCTTGGAAGAAAAAAAAAAAATCTAGGAAAGCAACATGTTCAAAGCCAAAAACAGAACTTTCTTTCCTCACTTTTCTTCTTTATGGACAAGACCAAGGATAATTAATTAGAATGTACAAAACCTTGTAAAAAATGGAAGCAAGTAAAACATAGGCTGAGAAGCTGACACTGTGGTCAGAATGGAGAACAGAAATGCTTCACCTCAGGCCAAGAATCTGAAGGGTAGGGACATGAACAAGCAACATTTTTGTGTGCTTGGTACAGAGCACAAGAAGGAACAAGACACAGGTGCACTATACGGATACGGCTCCAAGCTTCAGCACAAGAGTTATACAACTCTTGTGTCAAGTCAACACATCCACAACAAAATGTACGTATGGACAAGCACTGGGAGCAGAGAGTGTCCATGTGACAGGTCACAAGGAAATGCTTAGATATCTGGCAGCATAGCGCATTTTAGAACTGTACAAAAATTGGAAGCAACCAGGAGAAAAAGCATCCTTGCTGACTGACTCGCATCCCTCCTTGCAGCACAGCATTTACTAGCACAAGGGTGGCTTAATCTGCAGCACGAGCCACAAGTGGCATGGGCAGTCTGTGAGGCATGTAGCAGACTGGGGAAGAGACAAGCAATACAGTGGTATATAAGGCAGAGAATAGAAAGCAGAGCCTATCACGCAGGGAGCACAGATCAAGGAGCAGAAAGCAGAGCAGGAGACTGGGCAAGGGAAGGGAATGGAGTGGCAACGAGGGAGGGTGCAGAGCTAATTTGTAGCATACCTACCAAATAGTTTGGCCCCCACTGTTTTAGCATTTCAGTTCAGTGTGAAATACAGCTTAGTGCTAGCTGCTGGCATGCTAGCATCTCCCAAGAGGCATGCTAGGATTTAGAGATTCCTTACCTCTCAGAATCCCCGCTGGGGCTCAGGTAGAGCCTCCTATAGGCACTCAGCACAGCTTCTCTAATGCTCAGCTCCTTTGACCATATGAGAGGGAGCATCCTGCGAACTCCAAGCACTGCCTGAGGGACTCCAAACTGTGAGACTGTTACAAAGAACTCAATGGCCTCTTGCACAACTGTAGGAAGTAGAAAGATGTTAGTGCAGCTTTGCACAGCTCCTCCCTTTCCAGTATGGCAACTATCCCTGCCACCGACAAGTAAAACTGGTTCATACACCTACTGCTGCATACACACCATAGCAAACCTAAAATCATTACTGAGAGTTAGCAGATGACAAAAAACAGGAGCATGAATGATAAATAATGAAGGACAGGGTCAGTGGTATGGACAGATCTGGACTGCTTGGAAGATGGGTGAAGTTAAACCGCATTTTTAAAAACAGCCAAAAGTAGGCCATACAGACAGGTCATATCTACGAAATGATAGATTACATCCCAGGGAGCAGCAATTCTGAAAAAGAATCAGCATCGTGGCAAACAATTAGGGGCGCACAGATACAGATTTTGGGGGCCGATATTGATAGACCATTTTTAAGGAGGTATATCAGCTGACACCGATCCGATAAAGCTATGTGCAGCTGGTAAGTCTGTTGTGGTGGAAGAGGAACGGGGAGGGAAGGGGCGTGGGGGAGGCAGATTAACGCTCCCCATGGTGAGGTAAGAAGTGGGCCTGGGGCTGGGGCAGGCAGTGCCCAGCTGGGGCAGAGCAGGGCGCAGGATGGAGCCGTGGCTCGTCCAGGGGGCGTGGGGAGGGGGAGCAGCTTCTGCTGCTGCGTGCACCCCGGGAGGGAACAGAGGGGTGGGGAGGATGTGTGCCCCCAGATCTACGCAGGGCAGGGTAGGCTGCAGCTGCAGGCTGGGGCCAGAAGCCGTGCTGGGCTCTTACCAGAGTGGGGGGAAAGGAAGGGGGAGGAGTGGGTGGCGCCCAGGGCAAGCGGTGGCAGCGCTGGGAGC